TGAAATTTGTACTGAATCTTGTGTCACGTGCCGGTTGGCACGCGCTAATTAACAAGTCTTTAACTTCAAAATCAAAATATCTATTGATACTAAATTTCATATTTATTGTTTATATGCTTATATCTTCTTTTATTCATGTTATTTGTGCTCCTAAAACACCGTTCAAGTGTCCTTAGTGCAAAAACTTTGTTCTTAATGCACTATGAAGACTTAGTCCTTTACGGTATTTCTTTCTACACACCGCTATGCGGAGTCGTTCTTTTTTTATAAAGATATTTAGTAAAACAAAATAATTTTTGGTAAAGATAATTTCCTGTAAAAAAAGACGGTCTTGTAATCGGCGATGGACGTTTGCGATTTTTGTATAGGACATTTGCGCTTTTACAATATTTTCTGTATGGATAAAAGTTAAACAGTAATTCCATTGCAAATTCGTGTTTAAAAGTCATGTCATAACACATTGATATATAGAGATTAATACATGGCCTTTTTCATATCGGCCCGGGTATCATCCCGAGACCCCCATATCAGCCCGAGACGTAGTATAGAAGTATTATTACATGCATATAAATAATGATATTCATCACCAACACATTCATTACATAAAGGACATATACGATCGGTTCTAGCGATGTTGTACCATCTGCCAGTTTCCAAATGAATTTTAAGATTGCATGTTCTCAGTTTCGAAATCCAGATTCTTTTATCCTCTGGAAGACGAAGTAATTAAATTTCAAGACCAAGCTGAGCTTTAAATAACTTATAATATTCGTCACGAGACGAATTATCAATATTACTAAACCACTTTTGAAGAAACTGATCCTGAAGAATCTGTTTTATTACAGGTTTTATAGTTAAATAATCAATGTATTGGTTGAAAAACATATAACCTAATCCTGAGTTGTCAAATATAGATTTCACAAATGACACCCATTTGAATTTACAAATATCATCGCTATGTAATTTAAAAATAAGCTTATACATAGAGTTACTAAGTTTGTTTTCATTTTTAGCTATTCTACTCCAAAACGATCATACTCTTAATTTTACTTTTATTTCTAATGGAAACCTTCCTAGTTCTCCATATACCATACAATTTTTCTGATCCATACAATAAAATAGGTTCTACAAGATTATCAAACAATTTTAGTTGTAAATCAATGGGTAAATGTAAATTTATAATCTTTGTATATGCAGCAAAAAGTGCTTTTTGCGATTGTTCCACAAGTTTTTTCTTTACACAAACAAATGACCCATTATAATTTAGCAAAAGACCAAGGTATATGTATAGCTATCTAAAATTTCAAGAGATGTACCATTAAGTTTAAAATCAAAATCCATTCTTGCTTTACTTTTTCTAAAAATCATCACTTTAGTTTTACCAATATTCACACTAAGTTTCCACATAGTACAATAATTTTCAAAAACTTTGAGAGCATTTTGCATTTCATCATAATTATCAGCAAAAATTATAGTGTCAACTCATACAACAAAACAAAAATTTCTAAGAAATACATGTAATTCATTATAACCTTTTTCTTTAATTAATTCTAGAGGCAAGACAGCAAGATCTCTGAAGTAGTCTTCTAAGTCATTTAAGAATATGGAAAACAAAAAAAAGGGGAAAGATTTTCACCCTGACTAACTCTAATCATACACGGGAAAAATCTGATATCGTATTATTGTTTTGAACACACGATTAAATATTATATTAGTATACATGTTATATATAACATTTTCCTTTTATCTGGCTCTTTTTTTTCACTTTGAAAATGATATGAGCCATGCGAAAAGGTACAAAAAGTATTGATGAGACAACAACCCAACGATACAGAAAATCAAGACATTTAGAGTCAACATGTAGTCTTTTATAATAGAGAGATCCTTATACAGAATATCAAGCTCAAAACCGCTTCATGTATAAATAAAGTAATTTAATATTATCTATCGTTAAAGATATTCCAACAGGCACAGACATATTTTGTATGGTTGAAAAGTTTTACCATTTCATTTTTTAATATCGATCAGTGGAAATCATAAAAGGTACATGTAATAAAAACTTTTTTTGTTTTTGCTCCTTAATGCCACTTGCTTAGCGGAGAAACCGCAAGTACAAATGTTGACGTCTTTGGTTTGTGCCCCGGCCGGGGTTCGAACCCACGACCTCCCGCACTAGAAGCAAAAACACTATCACGAGAAATCCGAAGCGGTAAGAAGAATACAATATCATACCAAAAAGCTAAAGTGCAATAAACAATTCAATCTCATAGAACTCGCCCCTTTACTGAAGCCAGCAAAAAGTATTTAATCTATTGATATCATTGAAAACTTCACTTAAGTATCGATGGTCGACTTCAGAGTAGATTTCATGGACCAACGCTTTCTGCACATCAAGAACTCTTGCAGCAATTCTTTGAGCGATCCGTAAGTGGCCAGCTGTTGAAAGGCTAAATTTCTGTCCTTTTCCAATATTTTCTCATTTTCCAGTGGCATTCCAAATTTCATGTCAAACCTCAGAGTCGACCTTCCATTTTTGCTATTGCAGGGCCTACCTATTGTATTTATAATTAACGTGTTCTCGGTTATGAACTTACATGAAATATTTGCCACAGGACGTTAAACAAACAACATTAATCTAACAACTTCATAAATAATTCCTTGTAAACAGTATACACGAAGACAAGATATTGCACAATGCTATAAAGTAATATTTCCATGTATATCATTCGATAATTATGGAAACTTAAACGACGTTTTTTCAGTTATCTCTTTGAAAACCACTGAATGATTTTTTTTCTTTCGTTCTTAGATCTACTGTTTTATTACGGTCTATCATATATGATTGTGTCAATTTATTATAGAACTAAGACATGTAAGAATAGATTTTTAAGGGGTGATTGCTTAGTTAAGACGTGTAAAGGAAATGACGGATGACTAAAATAAAAGTGTTTATTTTCATGTAATATATTGTATTTCAATTTAAGAACGATTGTCAGTCTTGCCAAAATATCTCATCTTTACCAGTTTTGTGTGAGCCACTAAAACCTACATTACTTGATTCTAAATATATTACATTCAGGCCTTTTCAATACAATTTTATTCATTGAAGTTAACAGGCACAGTTTTGAATTGAAACTAAAAAACAAAACAATATTTATTAATCAATCGGACTGGACAAGAGAACATTTATTATTTTGCATTTGCATGTCACGTAGTATAGGCAAGGAACATAATTAAAACCAAAATGAACATTTATCTGAATATTCTCAAAGATCCTATGCATCTAGGTCTGTTTGATTAGAAGTTGTGATAAAAATCTTTTTAAATAATTATTTAATTGTTGAAGGAAATTTACTTACTACTTTCGTATGGTCTGGTCTTTATGAGATTTCAAGATCGTAAATAACATGTATAAAATATTTGCCACTAAACGTTCAGGAAATACCAATAAAACAAATTTCATGCATGAAACGGAAATTACCAAAAACAGCCATTAGATATATTGCATTAACGACAACTTTATATGATATTGAAATATCATGCATTTTGTTTAGTACGATTCACCAATTAGAATGAAATAATAATGATTTGATAAAAGTAAATCATTTCGGAATCGTTATGATATATATGAGCCTGCAAGCCAACAATATAAGATAAACAGTTTGTATTGTCTTAATATCTTTCCTATTGATGTGCGATGTCCGATATTCTGGACCACACAAACTATTTGCATTGACAATCATAACAGTATTGTAAACGTTTGAAGTGCATGATGTAATTTTTAAGGTATTATGTTCAATAAAATACAGAAACACTGGGTCAAGCGAACCATAAATATATTTTCTAAAATACCAACAAAACTGACAAAACCGTCTTAGAGGACACAACGTATCCAAATTTTATCCTATGGGAGAAAACAAAATCTTATATGACAAATTTTATCCTAAGGTAGAACAAAAAATCCTACAGGACAAAATTTATCCTAAGGGAGAGAAAAAAAATCCGGTAGGAGAAAAAGTATCCTATGGGAGAGAAAACATCCCACAGGACAAAATAAATCCCTTAGGAGAAAAAATAATCCTAAGGGACATTTGTTTCCCAGAAAAAAGTCTTTCATGGTAATCCTATAGTAGGATAAAAAAAATCCCATCGGATTTAACACTTTTTTCGAAAATCATACAGGATTTTAAATCCCGTAGGATATTAATTTTATCCCATTGGAGATAAATTCTCCTATAGGATAAAAAAAATCCTATGGGATTATGACTTTATCCTGTAGGATTTTAAAAAATCCTATGGGAGAAAATAATATATTGTCACTGTTTCACTCCAGTTGCCGACTGTGACCAGGCGAGCCACACCAAAAACATTTTTGTATTGTTTTACCTATCCCCAGAGGTACATTATTGCCAAATTTGATGATTCTATCGTTAAAAAAAGTGTGGTTCCAATTTGCACTCATGAGAAGTGCAAATTAATCCAAGAACATGTTTACTGGTTTATACGACTATGGTATGCGGTACGGGTTTTGCTCATTGTTGAATGCCGTACTATGACCTATAGTTTGTTAACTTCTACTTCATTTGGTCTCCGGTGTAGAGTTGTCTCATAAGCAATCATATCACATCTTCGAATTTTTATATAGTCTCCAAAGTATGTTGTTAGTGATGAATTTTTAATGACAGAAAAAGCATCTCTTTCTCGATAAAGCGTAAGCAACAGGAGAGGCTTCGCTCCCTGGAACCCCCTACAAGGGCCCAAATCCTCTGGCCGAGGTTTAGGCGTACACTTAAAAATGGCCTAGCTACCCACTGAATAGTCTCAGGAGAGTCTCATATTTTTTAAATGGACAATACAAAAATCATCACAAAATGTTTTCTATTTCAATACAATATATTTTTAACCTGTGCATTTGAAATACAAAATAAAGTTCTTTTCAGTCCGTTATTCTTTTAAAGTTTTATGCGGTTATGAAACATACCTTTGGGTTATCACTTGACGCTCAGCTGATAATGAATCATGTGATCACCACAGTTTAAAGATGGCGGTAACCGTAAAATTTGTTTCAAAAGTTTGTTCAGTTGTCTTCCTTTTTATTGTTCTTTTGGAGTCAATAGTAGCTTTAAGAACGGTAAGACTATGATATTGTTTTAAGATATAAAAAGTCTGTTTCCATTATTTCTGTAAAACATGTCAGAAATATTGAAAACTTGGAATTTATATTAGTGTTTCCCCTATCACACAAAAAGGGCATGGTAACTCAATTGAAAAAGGGCATCTAGAGCGCGCAAAAATTTATAAAAAGGGCACCTACAGTGTATGGAAAATTAACAAACGGGCACCTACAGTATGCTGAAAACAAGAAAGACAATAAATTGTCATATAGACAGGTTTTTCCGATTATCTGCCTTAGTTTGTGACGCGACTCCTAGGAGTTGTCTAGTACGGTCGCCATTACAACCGTGAAAAAATATAAACAAGATATAGATCTATATGCCCTGACCGCATATAATTAAATGTAAACACAAGAATGTGAAGTCGTACTTGACCTCGGCAAAATTATATGTGCTATAAATAATAAAGTAATTAGATAAGGATTCTAAGTGTATTGCAGGCCAGGTGTCGTGTCCTTAAAATATAACTGTATTTGATATGTTACACGCAGGACATAATAAATTTTATACAAATACTAATCCCAGGTTACATGTCCATTATAATCATTTGGTAATCATAATATTAATAATTATAACGCATACATAAATAAAAAAAAATAAATAGTCTTGACCGGTCGAATGTGATATATAAGAAAAACCAGCTAGGGTGCAATTTTATCAAATCATAGAAATTTCTGTGGTCAGACCTATAATGAGACAGTCGTAAAATTTAACAATCCACTAATCAGACGGTCCTACAGAGACGAGAGTTTTGTGCTTTTTGCTTGACTCACGTATAATGCTCAAAATTGAGTGACATTTTCGTATTACTTTGATGTCCGCATAAATTGCGCTATATGCTATCGATGCGTCGGGCCATATGTAGATATAACTTTGCGATTAGAATATGGGCTTAAGAAGTTTTGAATTTTCACGGCCCATGTATTCCTATCGTTATTATGTGTTCGATTCCAATTTCTTTTGCAGAAAATTACTCGACATACAACTACTATAGTATGTATAGTATATAACATCATGCTCCAGTCCGTGCTTAATATAACTGAATGCCATTAAACCACCAAAGACTCCAACATGTAATTCAAAGCGATGATTAGTTATGTTTTAGAAGCGTCATTTAGTGTTTTGCCAATAATACAGTGAAATACAGTATTACAATATAACATTAGGGGTGTATATCGGACCGTCGGACTACTGAACTGTCGGAATTTTGGGTTGTCGGATTATAGCTACGCTTTCGTAGGTTCTAGTAAACTATTTGATTACCAAGAGTTAGACCTTCGAAAAATCCTTTCTAATGTATAAAATTTTAGAATTCATGCACAGAATAATCTACTGAGGAAAGTTCAAATCAACAGAAGTAACTGTATACGTCTTATAAAGAAAATAAAGTGAATATATACTATAAGCACACATACCTACATATATATATAAAATCTTTAAGATTTTCAGCAAGAACTGCATACAGGAATAAAATATTTTACAAGCCTTACTTTTTCGAAATATTAAAGCGCCGTCCAGAATAACCAAATATCAAACTAAGTGTTAACCTCATCAGTACGATCGAGCAACAGCTGATCTGCAATATCGTAGTTGAAAATTAAATTGTGTAGTAATTCCACTAAAGTAAAGAAATCTTAGTTACATAAGTATACAACAAGGCATCGCTGTCATTCATAATATTTCTTAAACTGCTGACGAGGTCCCCCCCCCTTTTATTTAATTTTGAACTCCTTACTCCTCTGTTTACAATATTTTTGTCTGAGTTAATATTGTCGGAATGTCTGTCCATTTTGCAGCATAAAGATACTATAGAAGTCGTCATGAATGAAAAAAGTTTGTCTCTTCACACTGGGTTGATTTGCTTGCAATTATAACTACATGTAGCCTCGGGGCAGGTTTCATTGTTTTTAGCTTCATTTATGGTTAATCCAGACATTTTACCGCTTCCACTACAAAAGTTTGGGGGCACGTGCCCTCCCCCCCTTTTTTTCAAAATCCTGGATCCGCATCTGATGTCGCGGTGGATCTTCTATACAAAAAGAGGCAGATGCACGCACTGTAGTCGTCGGATTAAATTTTATAGATTAATTTAAGTTTTTAAAAGTCGTTTTACAACGTGTGAACATTCATCGGCCAGTGTTATTTTACTTTCATAACAAGTTTTATTTAAAAAAAACGGATTGTGTGCAGTGGCGCATCATCCAAAAAAAAATGTCCGGACCATACAAAAACCTGTTTATGCAAAGTTTTTTTTTATGTTTATACGGCTTTGATCCACTCAGGTTTGTTGGCTCATCTGAAGGCATCACTTAATACGTATATGGAATCAAACCAGGGCAGTCATTGTGCAACTCGTTGTGTAATTCGCACATTGATTTTTTCCACACCTGAAGTTTTTTACGATTATTTGTACAACTATTAACTGCACAAGAAATGCTTCCATGTTTTTTATAACTTTCGGCAGCATCCATAGTAAAATAAATCAGAAAATGAAAGAAATACAAATGTAAACAGAAAATCGATAATGTTTTGATCAATACACGTGCCTTATTTTTCACGGTTGTAATGGCGGATCGGTCACGTGAGAGGTTAATGGATGCGCCCATGTTTTCTAGGTCAATTACAGATAAACCCGTCTATTGCATAGGTAAAGTATGTACTGGCAGTTGTTGATGGAATTAGAACTCAAGATAGCAAGTGTATTGTTTCAAAATAATATTGTATATGCATCTTTAAATAAAGATAAAAATCAACATTATTTCGGGTAAGAGCAAGGGACCAAGGATGTATGTATATTACTAGCTATACATCTTTGTCAGACTTTGAAGGACTAAGGCATACATTTACTAGGCAGTAATTACATGATTTGACTGATGTGGCACTTAAATATGAAGATTAGGATATAAGATCTGAAAATCTAGTTCAAAATTTCACTTCAATTAGTTTCAGGGGACAGTCTTCATCAACAAAAGTTGGGCCCTTTATTTAAACCAGGATTCACAGTTTAAATGAACTTGTAGAACTTTGTAAGACTATTACACTGCATAATCAATATCCTTATAATAAGTTTAGATCGATATTAAGAATTCATTTCTATAAAGTTGGAACCAAGTGTCTATAAATTCATAGGAATACTTTCACGCATGCGCAGTATTTCGTAAACAATAAAGGAAGCACCTGTTTGACTCCTGAAAACTTTTCTGAACGTTTTGAATAAAGTTCTATCTTTTTAATCGAAATTGAGCGTTTTATACCAAAGATCACAAAAATACGATCATTTGACGAAACTATGACAAACAGACTGCAAATTGTGATCGTTTTAGAAATATTGAAATTAAAAAGCGAGCTGTCCGGGGGTAAACAATTTTGATCAAATGACGAAACTGCGACAAACGAACTGCAAATTGGGGTCGTTGGCCTTGAGAAATATTGAAATTAAAATGCTGACTGACTGATTTTACTGGGGAAAATTATTATGGTGGTCAATTATGAGGTTTATTAAAATAATTAACGGATTAGTGACCCATCCGATGGCGATAAGCGGATTAACTGTAATCACAACTTTATAACACCTGTTGTAAATGTTAATTAGCTGAGGGTCATAAACTTGTCAGAAACATGAAGACAGGAAGAAAGGGCATTTTTTAGACAATGGCGTCATCCAAAGAAGTGAAAAAAGGGAATGGCGTCATTTAGTAAGACAAAAAAAGGGCATGGCGTCTATCCATGCTAAACATGCTTGGGGGAAACACTACATATAGATAACTTTTCAATTTCTGTTTTAAGAATGCATCTACATGTACATGAATGAACTGCCCCGGTTGACAAGGGGTCATTTGGGGGAAAGCAAGTCTAGGACATTGTGACATCAAAGTTTTCCGGGAAAATGCACTTACTGGAAGATCGTGTATATTTATTTAATTATTTTGTGAACATACATGACATACATAGATTCTGAGACAACTATAACACTATCTAGCTGCGGAACCGTAGCTCTTAGGTCCTTATGTTATTTTTTGACTATTTGCGGACCATAGATTGACCTAAGAGCTACGGTTCCGCAGCTAAACACTATCATGACTATATGTGTTATAGAAGTCTCAGATAGATTGTATCAGTGGGATTTGAATTAGTCCAAATAATTATGACGTCTTGAAAGGCTACATGTATTTTAATTTTTTTCTGTGACGCCTTCCTATGACTCGTAGGAAGGCGTCACAGAAAAAAATAAAATAGCCTTTGCCTTTCAAGACATAATTAGTTGGACTAGATTTGAATCTGTGGCGATTGAGCCACAGAAGATCTCCAGTAACTCAACTGAATAAGACCCCCTTTATCTCAAATTATTCAACACTGTTCTTTTCTTTGCTGTGTGCTATCCTTCCAACAGTTCATAGGCCCACTATTGGACACCCAAAAATCTTTCACTAGGAAACCCTCTGACAGGTACATTTTGTACTCACAAAAAATTGTACATATTGTTATGTGCCAGTAGAAGTTGCTCGCAGCGCCATTATTGGAAAAATACATGGATGGTACCAGTGGTATTTGAACTCGTAACCTCAAGATCTAAAGGCAGCAATTGAGCCAAAGAATATCTCAACCAAGTTAGACTTCTTTTACATGTACATGCATATGTATATGTTCATTCAATTATACAACAGTTATTTACAAATGTAGATTTAAAAAAAGAACTGAGTCCCTCAGAAATGATCCCTTAGCAATGCTTAGGGAATTTAAAGTCAGAATTGTTTTACTATTTATTTAGATTTTATTAAAAAAAACTGTGTTCCACTTAAATTATCTCTATTCATGCTATCATGGCTATAGGTATTCAAAGTTAGAGCTATTTTTCTAATTTGACTGAATCATAGAGCAGTTTATACATGTTTAAATGAAAAAACAGAAAATTTATGTTTTCAGACAACTTATTCATCTTTATTGTTATGAAGGTCAGTCAGGGGTACTACTTGTACAAGTAATTTTCATTTACTTGAAGAAGTAAATATTAATATACTTATATAAGTAAATTTGTAAGATATTTATACAAGTGTATTTTATTTACTTGTATAGGTAAATTATTTTATTGGCTTAGTTATGTCCCTTAGACATTCAGATTTTTTACTTATACAAGTAAAAAAGTCATACTATCTTCTTTTCTTGAATTTCTGAGGACTTCTTTGCTCTAATAGAATTTTTAATTGTCTTCCCTTTGCAGATGTCTTTACTAATCATTTAAGTGTAATTTCATGGACAATGAAAATCTCATTTGTCTGTTATCTTCAGAACATTGCTCATTTACAAGCCCCCAAGGGGCAATTTTTGAAGGCCTTGTGCAGTTACTTAAGATCTTTGCCAATTAGTAATTAGTTTCTTTGTTGAATTAATGAGATGAAACATTGAACTCTTATAAAAAATTATGAGCTAACCTGAGAAAAATTGTTAAAGGCATGTTTTTACATCTCAAAATTTGAGAATTTTAGGGATTGTAAAAAAAAATTACTTATACAAGTTAATTTTTGAGAAAATTAAGGGGAGATTATTCAAATATTATAAGAAAAAATGAACATAACAAAATTTACTTATATAAGTATATTATTATTTACTTCTTCAAGTAAATAAAGATTATGTCTACAAGTAGTACCCCTGACTGAAGGTGTATTAAAGAAGGGCTTGTTTTACAGTACCTATTCATCATGTCACTTTTATAACCAGAAAAATGTGACTGTTTAAGCCAAAGGTCAGATCAAAAGATTGCAAAAATCTCAAATTTATTTCTGAAATTTGTTAAAATGACAAACCCGCAATTGATGTCCAGTTCAGGCTCAACTCAACAGATAGGGAATACAATTTCCCGAAATTGTCCAGACAACACCACTGTCTTGGAAGCCATGCTCTGAAAATTATTATAATTATTCTGCTTCCATTTGACAAATTTTTTCATAATCTTCCTAAATTTTGATGTAATATAAAAGGGTTTTGATAATGAGGCTCTTTGAAAGCTGCTGCTTTAATTTTACTTTTGATGTTATCCTCTAATAAATGTCATAAATATATGTGTACAATGTGCCTATCAAGGGTAAATTTTTGAAGGTCACATGCTGGAATTTGTAAGCTCAATTAAGATTTGTCAGTAATCCTTGATCAGGTACAAAATGTACAATGTACGTGTAGGTTAATAGGAGGCAGGTTTTACCTGTAAAAGATAATTAAAGTCTATATATGAAAAAATTAAATTAATTAAAAAGCGGAAATGTCCTTTTTAAAAGGCGCAAATATCCTATAAATTTAAGTGCAAATGTCCATTAAAAAAGCGTAAATGTCCTATGAAAAAGCGCAAACGTTGTGCCAGACCTGGGGTAATTAAAAATGTAATTGTAATTAGCTGTAATTAATTACAATTATGAATATAATTCAATGTAATGTGTAATTGAGCATATTTTCAATTACATGTAATTGAAAGTAATGAATTACATTGCCATTTTGCCATGTAATTATGAATTACTTTTCAATTACTTTGAATTACGTTTAAAGAATTGCATGGAAATTTTAAACATTTTTGGCTTTTCTGATGCAACTTATAATTTTTTTCCTTCATTTAGTATGTAATTGGTACTTTCATTTTGCTTTTTAAACATTTAACATGATAAAAAAAATATAACATTCCTCAAGATATTTTATTTACCATTATAGCATGTACAATAATCTTTATTTGTATTTAATTCATTAATTTTTCACATGTTAACATAAAAAATATAAAAATTAAAAATAATACCAATTTAATAACATACAATTTGTAAATATGTTGTTTTAACAACTAACAATAATCTTAGCCTGAGCCAAGAATGGAGTCCTATACTTGACAATTTTGACTTGTTATAAAACAAGTCTTGAAAATGCTACCATTTCTCTTCTGTAATAAATGGACGCATTAAAGTTACTTAAAATTTCACATGAGGTACATAAGAAAACCTTTAAAATATAAATTAACATTTTTAGTAGAAACTTGAAATTTTTCTTTATAAATTGTTTTCCTATAAAAATAAGAAATGCATTCAAATAATCAGCATTGAAAATCTAATTGTGATTAAATGTAACAATGACATTAGAAATTTGAAAGTTTTTAAAAAAAAAAATTTTGTTCAAATGTTTTTGCTGTTTAATGTTATTTATGATATTTTTCTAAATGATATAGCTCTTACATGTCTTTGGATAAAAGTAATTGAAATACCAATAAAAACAATGTTCAAAGATTTTATTACAATTTTAAATTGGTAACCTTTTTAATATGTTTATTTCTAGGATATAAGTTTACTGGATCATATATATAAATTTACGGGCTCAATAAACATCATCGTAAAATAGGATGTGCTTTCCCGTTCATTATAAGTTTTCTACAGGTACAGTAATATTCTGTTGAACATTTCTGTATATTATGTATATGATACATTTGTACATGTTATAAAAAGTATATGTGATTCAATTATAGATACAAACAGAATTAAATCCTGGGTGTGATGACACAAAAGAAGATTGTGCAGGAGGTGTGGCTTACATCAAAGCTATTGGAGAACAAAATACATTTCATTATATACTCACAGCCATTGGACCACCCACAGTCCTTGTCATCTTGACAGAGAAAACAACGAAAGATGCTGGAATAACTATTAACTGGGACAACTTTAAATCAGGCAATATCACTGAAATGGAAAAATCAATCAAATTAGATCTAAGTTATACAGTATTGTATTCTTATGGGGTTGTCTTTACAAGGGTAAATAAACTGATATAAATTTACATATATATATATCTGGGACTATATACTAATTATAATAGTCCCAGTATATATGTATATATATTAACAAGTCTAAATTGAAAACAACATTCAAACCTATGATTGTGTTGGATAAAAACCGCAATTTTTATATGTGTGCATGCAAAACAAATTTCTTGGTAGAGGGGTCTAAATACAGCACAAACAACATTTTCCAATAGACCAAAAAAGTGAATAAGTATATTTAAACAAAACGCATTTGACTAGCAGGTCGAACAACAGATGTTCTTAAATCCTGCTGACTGCCATGGCGATTGCCAAATAAACGGATCACAGATGTAACAAAATGGATCTTAACTATTAATTTAATACCAAACAGAAAACAATAAACTTGCGGAAAAGATGGTATACCGCAAACAAAAGGTGCAAAAATTAGTACACCATATCCAGATTTCGACAATTAATGTCTCTTCAGTGCTGTTAGGAATCGAAACGGTATTTGGAAGGCCATATAATTTACCTCAATTTGGGATTGACTCTTGAATTTTGAAGAGTCGAAATAGGATGAACGGATCATATATATTATTTACACTAAACTTTAATCTAAACTAAATGCCTCTTGAATTCAAGCTCTTATCCTTACATAGAATTTAATGATAATGGTTTTATAATTTTTTTTTGTATTCATTACATGTTTAATGGCAGATTTGTTCATACTTTATAGATTTTGATTTTGACATTTATTTTTCTGTTCATTTTACAGGAATAAAAAAAAACTGTTGCTCCGGTTATATATGTTGTTTTTGTTCTCTTCTCACTACTGGTTATATAAGCAACAAATTTTTTTGGTGGGGGGGGGGCAATAAGTTTTACCCTTGTACGTCCCAAGGTTGGTTTCCATTCTCGAACTTTAGTTTGCCTCAATCAAGTGTTATGAAACTTATACACAATGCTTATTACCACAGAACACAGATCAAGTTTGAATTTTGGTGGCTTCACTTTAACCATTCTAGAGTTATGCGCCTTTACAAATGGAAAAATTGCTGAATTTTTCATTTCCATTCTCTAACTTTAGTTTGCCTCAACCAAATTTTATGAAACTTATACACAATGCTTATTACCACAAAACTCAGATCAAGTACAAATTTGGGTAGTGTCACTTTTACTGTTCTTCAGTTATGTCTCTTTATAACTTATATGATACACAAGCGGGGGCATCATCTGTGTCCCATGGACACAGTCCCGATTTATTTTTGTAAATTTTTTTTAAAAATTATTGCTGTTCATTATCTGAATGTCACATTGAGGCCTTCAACATATAGAAATTTGACTGGAATCATCTTAATGGAGTCAATACATATAAGCTGATTTTGTGTGAACAGTCTTCTGTAAAACTGGAAACCTTAATAAAATGTGATATACATAATGTAAATGCTGTGAAATGATTGTAAAGGTTATCTTGAACTAAAAATCCCTTAATGTAGTTATGCAAAATATCCAACTCTGAATTTTAGAATACAACAACTTTAATTTGGAAGCTACATGTATCATTACATTGTGATTAACTAAAAAATGAAGACACTTCAATATATTATCATACAGTAAATCAGTTTCTTGAATACACTTCAATATAGTATAGAACAAATCAGTTTCTTTGGTTAATATTCGGTTATTTTTTAATATAATCATACAAATAAACCTACATGTACATACTTTTAATATTATCATACAAATAAATCTACATGTAGAGTGGGTGGCGCATATTCACCGTGGACACATTTTTGCCGTTTATGCAATTTTTTCTGTAAATTTCGTGTGCATTTACCCAATTCTTGCCTAAATAGATACTAAATGCTGTTTGTAATGTTCGAACTGTTGATATTCCTCTTTACCCCATTTCCAATGTTATTCGCACATATAAAGAAATACACAGGTGTTTTTGAACGATTTTGGCAATTATGTAAGATTTATATGGCATGCATGCGCAGTCATAAAGTAAATATTTGTTAGAAAAATCGTATAGGAATGATCTCTCAAGCTAATTCATGTAGTTGCAAACAATTGTTTTTATAATATACAAGGATAATGAGGATGGTCATATCATACATTGCGGCGAAAATGTGTCCCCCATGGTACAAGAACAACTTGATTTCCTCTTGAGTTTGCGTTCATTTTTAAAACATTTAAACAATTCCTTTATCAAACATTTTTTTCATATAGTAAACTTTCTGAAACCTACATAAAAAGTTTCAAATATTCGAATGTAGGTCGGATGTAGGTGGAAATGAACGAATTTTGCGGCGAATATGCGTCACCCACTCTACATACTTTTAATATTATCATACAAATAAATCTACATGTACATACTTTTATTTACAGTTATTTCAATACAATGACACAGAAGATAAAGCAGAGCTTGGAAAATTAAATTTGGACAAAACAGCATTTCGAGTGTTTGACTTCTCTAGATCAATGTTTGAATGGTATGACCTGAAACCTATCTCATCAGATTCTTCTATTAAGTTGAGGGTCAAAAATAGTTCAGCTATAATGGGACAGACAATAAACAATGGCTCCTTAGAATTTAAAGTGAGTTTAACTGTTACAGGCACTTGAATTACTCATTATTAGTTGGTCATACCAGTATTCATGGTAATGTTTCATTCAATTGAATTTTATTGACAAACAAGAAATTAGTAGTTTTTACCTATTATATAAAAATAAGGAGAGGTTTGTTCTGCTCATACATTGTTGACAGTATAATGGAATTCTATGCGACTGTCATACAAGTGAAAGGTTTAGATAGCTATAAAACCAGGTTTAATCCACCATTTTCTACATTAGGAAATGCCTGTACCAAGTCAGGAATATGACAGTTGTTTTCCATTCATTTGATGTGTTTGAGCTTTTGATTTTGCCATTTTATAAAGGACTTTTGAAAAAGTGTTGTACTTAATAGATGTACTAATCATAATGTTCATTTAAAATAGTTTAACAGACAATTATATAATATAGATCTTTAGATATTTGAAGGAGCCACTTATAACTTATAAGTGTAATGACTCACTGCAACAACAGTCGAAATCTGCCTTGGTCATGTGTTCATGGGTGAATGCATGTAATTAAATATTTACTTTGATTTATTCATTTTAATGCCTCTCCTACAATAAACAGGGATATTATGCTTATCAGTTTTGGTTTAGGGTTGATTTCTATGAAAATGTATTTAAATTATTGAAACTTAGCACACATGTGCATTTTGATGTGAGTGAGGAATTGTTTCCTTTGAACATGTATTCTTTTATTAGTTTTGTTTTTTTATTTTGAGTGCATGTACTGATTTTATGTCATGTATGTATACCCCTGTCCTTTGTTTTCTGCTGTGCATGTACTGATTTTATGTCATGTATGTATACCCCTGTCCTTTGTTTTCTGCTGTGCATGTACTGATTTTATGTCATGTAATGTATACCCCTGTCCTTTGTTTTCTGCTGTGCATGTACTGATTTTATGTCATGTATGTATACCCCTGTCCTTTATTTTCTGCTGTGCATGTACTGATTTTATGTCATGTATGTATACCCCTGTCCTTTATTTTCTGCTGTGCATGTACTGATTTTATGTCATGTATTTATACCCCTGTCCTTTGTTTTCTGCTGTGCATGTACTGATTTTATGTCATGTATGTATACCCCTGTCCTTTGTTTTCTGCTGTGCATGTACTGATTTTATGTCATGTATGTATACCCCTGTCCTTTGTTTTCTGCTGTGCATGTACTGATTTTATGTCATGTATGTATACCCCTGTCCTTTGTTTTCTATTACAGTTAGCCATTGTTTTCTTCTTACACAACTTTGAAATTGAGACAAGGTTGTCCATCAAATGTGAACTGAAATTCTAATTCTGTGAAACCATTTAATAAAACACAGGAGGCATTATATCAACCTTATTTACAGTAATTGATACAATATTTAACCATCTTAAACTCACCAGTTTTAAAAATTATGAATCAAGACAGATTTTCATGAGTTCAGGACTCATGTATTCACCTTCTGTGAGAACCCTGCTTCCCCTAATCATCAGTTTCAAGTTTTGGTTTAAGGTAGTTTAAAAATGTATCAAATTATTGAAACTTTAATTCCTGCAGAACATGACTAATAGTTGAGTGTACAAGATCTTTTCAGATTCATGTGGTTTTTATTGTGTGAACATAATGTTTTTTTTTGTCATTTTGAAATTTTGCCATGCAGTAAAATGTAAGCATATAGTGCTGTCCTCTGTACAATTTTAGTTGTTTATTCTCAAAATATTTATTAATTTATTTTCAAAAATTTGTTTTACTTGTAATTTCAGTATAGTCCATTGTACAATTTTAGATGTTTACCTTTCTCATTATTACTAAGGTATAGCATTCTACAATGTCTATGTAAACAAAACATTAGAAACCAATAGTTTTTAAGGGTTTTTGCTAAAATTATAAACTATTGCATATTTAAAAATTTGTATTACTTGTAATTTCAGTTTAGTTTTTTTGACCACATGGACAGAGCTAAAGATTTACCACATCTACAGTATACTGAAGATACGAGTCAGTTTGATTTTACACTGATGAATATTGATACAGGGAACATGTCGCTATCCAGGTTCGCTTTAGAAAGTGTATTGTTCAGCACAGATTCTGCAGGAAAAGATATGAAATTTGACGAGACCAAATCTATAGATGATGAGTACACACCTGGCGTGTTTACGGTATATATTATATTGCAGTATTTATTGTCACACTGGCAATGTAAGATCTCATTTTATTGTTAGACATAGACCAACAAACTATCTTTTTAGAATCCAAAACTTTAGTAAGTAGAAACAATAACACATATAGTTTTGTCATATTCCATTACTACATTTTCTTAGAGAAAATGGTAGTATTTACTTTTCCTGTTTTGCATCGGAATGTGAGATTTCAAACATTAGTGAACAAAAACAATTCTATCCTTTGGAATTTTACAGGTACTCTTGATGGGGGCTTGTTTAGTTATTTATTTTATTTATTAAACACTTATGAAAAAAATTAAATCTGCTGTCTGTTGAGTTTTTGGCTATAAAATTGTCATTTCTGCAATTAGTTTGTAGATAAACTGCCTCATATAATATACCATTTATGTTTCTTGTTTTATTGGTTTATAGCATGACATATTTGCCACTGGATATTAAGCAACCAACAATCAATCAATCATTGGTTTATATTATATTACTCTTTTGTTTTTGGACAGATATCAAACTGGCTAGCCAGACCAGAGAAAGAAGATCAGGGAGGTTTTCTTCAACACAAGCCAGTGTGTTATACTAAACCAAAACGTGGAAGAGCCTATGGGACTTTTGTCAGAGGTTATGGTTTGACCAAAGTTACAGATGTTCAGTATTTATTAGACCAAAGTGCAGTATTGGCATATTTTGGAAGTGTAAATATGGCTAAATTGAGAATAAGCTCTACCAACTTTTCATTTGGTCTTACTGATGATGGAACATTTACAAAAACTAATTATACTGTTTGGTTAGTACATATTATTTTAGTAACGAAAATCAGGGCCTAATCTAGGATTTTCCATGAGAGAGTAGGGATTTTGATAGCGATTTGGCTCGCTATGAAGACAGTCAACAGGCAAGGAATAGCAATTTTCCAAATTTGTTGACCTAAATTCGTGATTTCGCCGGCTAGATTACCGGTATGGCCTGAAAAATGAAACAAATTATAAGCATGGTATCTTTGCAGAGTTGTATTTGCACCTTGAAATTTAGAATGGAGAATGTAACATACAAATTTTTTTGCCCACTTTGTGTCTTTATGCTCCAAGGTCAAAAGTTTAGAGGGCAATACAACCATAGGACATATTGCAGTCAACATAAAGTCTACAATAATAAAAAGTGTCCATACACTATGTTTGGGGGGGAGGGGGCACTTACTATGTAAACTAATGTGTGATAGGGAATCTGCTCAAAATGGTGCTAGGTGCTGTCTTAAACTTGCAGTGAGGTGGTAGTTTTTTTGCTCTGTGTTGAAGGCCTCAGTGTGACTTTGAGATGAAGAACAGCAATAAAAGCGCTGTTCCTTTACTTTTTGTGTATTTTTTTTTGCTGGCATGTACTGATTTTGTGTCATGGATGGACACCCTATATATTTTGTTTTTCTATGAGATGTTGGAATACAACAAATGTATGTCACTATATAAAAAGGTTAAGAAATTTAGATTAAATATATGATAAGGTTGCTGATAACATCATAAGTATCTGAAGTATTTAGTATTCTTTAAAGATGCAATTAAAAACCATGGTCATAAATGCATTAGATATTTGACAAATCTATTTACTCTCCATGAAATAGTGTAATAAAGCCATAGGTCTATTTTTGTCAAACAATATATGACAGGGTATGAATTTTGGAATATTCAAAATATATGAAAAGGGTAGGGTACTGAATGTCTGCGCAGCTCAGGATTGAAGTGAACCTGGAGTAGTGTTATATCAATGATTTTTCACCACTACAAGCCTATGTTATAGATAAACACATTTCTCGGTCATTTGATATAAAAAAGAAGATGTGATACGATTGCCAATGAGACACATCTCCACTAGAGACCAAATGACACAGAAATTAACAGCTATAGGTCACTGTACGGCCTTCAACTATGAGCAAAGCCCATACCGCATAGTCAGCTATAAAAGGCCACGAAATCACAAAAAAAAACGAACAAAAAACAAATATGTAGAAAGTCTTATAACAACAACACTGGAGGGACTGCTGCAGAAAATTTATTGATCGACATGTTTCGGTGCCTAGGGCACCGTCATCAGGATACAAATAATACATTGAACATACTTAAGTGTACAATCGGGTTGTCTTGTGACAACGTCATATAAAAAACAAATATGTAACACAGCAACAAATGACAACCACTGAATTACAGGTGGTTCCTGACTTGGGACAGGCATATGCATACAGAATGTGGCGGGGTTAAACATGTTAGCGGGATCCCAACCCTCCCCTAACCTGGGACATTGGTGTAACAGTACAACATAGGAACGAACTATAAAATTCAGTTGAAAAAGGCTTAACTCATCAAATGGATACAAATAGAAATACATATAACAAAACACGTCCATATATGAGATTTCAGGTGACTTTGAGTTGATTTGTGTGTTATTTCTAAGAGTAAAAAATATACAACAGAATTGAGAATGGAAACAGGGAATGTGTCAAAAAGACAACAACCCAACCAAAGAGCACAAGACAGCTCAAGGCCACCAATGGGTCTTAAATGCAACGGGAAAATCCCACAACCAGAGGCTGGCTTCAGCTGACCCCTAAGCAATAATGTATACTAGTTCAGCAAAATGGTTGCCACACTAAACTCTGAAACAGTTAAATGAACCAAAATACATTTAATCATTTGATCAAAGAAATTTGCTTTAAAAGTGTTATTACAAAAAAATAACTCAAAAAAAACTAACATAAAAAATAACATAGATAGAATAAATTGTCTAATGTCTCTGTTAAATTTCCTGCCACAGCTGTTATAAATTAGTATGAATTGTCTCCCTTTGCTGTGTTTAAATAACTTCATTTGTTGATATACTGACATAGAGTTTCTGGTGAAATGCATTGATCTGTATAGCAGTTTTGTTTTTAAAAAAACTTTTACAACTGTGTATACAAATACAAGACAAGACAAAACAAACCAGATCAGGAGAATGAATTTCAATGAAAATAAAAGGAATTGTTTTGTATAAATCAGTCAGACAACAACCTAAAGTTCAGACTAAAACCAAGAAAGATATCCATGTATATTTTCTATTAACAATAAACAAGTAATGAACATCCAATAAACATTTGCATCATCAAATCTTCCAACTACCACCTAGTAAATGACGTTTATTTCTTAAATATCTTTTTGATTAAAAGCTTTTGACCATATGTGAAATTTATGGGTTAATCTCAAAATGAGATGTTTTTGCAGATTTTTAGCAGGTTTTCCTCTAACATAATAAGTTAAAAGCCTAAATCAAATATGTAAATCTGAGGATGTTACTTAACAGATTAATAGGACTTTGTGATGTTTGAATTCAAGGGATGAAAAAGTGGTTTCATCAAACCTTTTGTTATATGCCTGTTTAGTGGACTTATTATGGTATATCATTCTCCATTTGTCCCTCCATTGTCAACGCGGACAGTAACTCAAAAAACGCTTTCATCAGCTCATATGAAACGTTGTTTAGTTGTTTATATCTATTTACGTAAGCTCCCTTTCAATTTTTATACATTTTAGATTACCGAGTTATGGGATTTAAAAGAAAAAAGTGGTGATTTTCCAGTTTTCTGACTATAACTTAAAAATGCTTTGAGCAATTTTCATGAAACTTTGGTGAATTGTTTAAATTTTCGTATTGGAGTATTGGGACCATAAAAAAGGGGGGTTTTCCAGTTTTTTGACAATCACTCAGAAACACTTTGAGCAATTTTCATGAAACTTTAGTGACTTATCTATTGAAATAAGCTTTCTGTTTTTTTTTTTTATAAATTTCTGATATGACTTTGCAGAGTTATGGAACTTTACTTATCGAAAAACCGTCAAAAACTGAAACATTTTCACACTTTGGATGGTTAAAGAATTTTATTTGTTCAAAAAAATCAAGGCCACAAAATCAGTTAAACTTGATGTAGCCTTAATAGTGCCAAATTATTCATGATTTGTGTCAAAGGGTACCACTGTGTGTGCATGTCTTTTTTTGGGGGAGGGGGGTGGGGGTCTTATTTGAGCAGTGCTCACAGTATTTCTAGTTGATTATATAAATTTATTTAAAGCATAAAGATGAGCTAAAGGGCGATGGGCTTATCATGCGCTCATGGAACAGCTTTGTATTTTGTAATGTAGTGACATGCAAAAATATATGAGGTTCATCAAATGTCCTGAAGTTGTGCGAGTGCTTAAACAAAATTATAAAAATATAAATTTCTCTAAATGTATTTCTGCTCTTCAAAACAGATAATTTCGTTATCTCTTGGTCTTCTGGTTTTGAGGATTCTTGATGAAGCTCAAGGTAAATTAAGAAAAGTGCTTCAGATGCATAAAATTTATAAAGTGTTATTTTCATTATTGTAGACATAAATTAAAGGTAGATCAAAGCACCAGTAATATTTCTAATTATGTTTATCATCTCATTACATCTAAAGGCAGTATTGTACATTTTTGTAGACATAAATTAAAGGTAGATCAAAGCACCAGTAATATTTGTAATTATGTTTATCATCTCATTACATCTAAAGGCAGTATTGTACATTTTTGTAGACATAAATTAAAGGTAGATCAAAGCACCAGTAATATTTCTAATTATGTTTATCATCTCATTACATCTAAAGGCAGTATTGTACATTTTTGTAGACATAAATTAAAGGTAGATCAAAGCACCAGTAATATTTCTAATTATGTTTATCATCTCATTACATCTAAAGGTAGTATTGTATATGAAGTGGAGAGGGCTTGTATAGGATTATCATGTTGCCCAATCCAATTCAATTTATTTTAAATAAAATACATGTACTGTTTTCCTCAAAAACCGACTGTGGATTCATTGATTTTAGTGGATACCAATATTCATGGATTAAGGAACAATTGTAATACTTTTTTTCAGGTTTTTGCCAAAGTCTGCATACAAGCCTTTATAAAATTTGTACTACCGGTACGTTGAACATTTAAAATAGTGAATTAAATTGTTGTTCACCTATACCCACGAAATCTGCAAAAACTGGTATCCCACAAATAAGTATGAATAGCCAGTAATTTACAAGTTTGAATAATATGTATTTTTTTTTGCAGGACTGGTTCTATAGGTTACGGCAAACCTCCGATGGATGTAGTGTCTTCTCTAGTGGTTGTTGTGATATCTGTTGGACTTGGTATACCTGTGGTACTAATTTTATTTGGAGGACTTTTTGTCTGCCTGAAGAAAAAAACGGATCCTCTATTAGTTGATGTTTCTAAAAATGCAATGTCTGTTAACTGAGTCCAATTAATTTAAGTGATGAAAAAAAAAATACTCATTTGTTTGTTTTTACTTACTGTACTTAACTCTTACATTAATTTTTGTCTCCGCTGTTACAAAAGTTGTTGAAGTGAGACTTAGGAATGCTGTTTCTGGCATTCCCGGGCATCAACAATTGTTAAGTGTTTTTGATGATGCCACACAGGTGCGACATATTTCTATATTAACGGTTAATCTTACCATCAAAATAATAAATTATTTATTGAGCTGGTTTTAGAGTATATTAGCTCAAGTAACATTTTAAAATTATTTAAAGAAATTCTACATATTTTTACATCTCTGGCTTTCAAATGTAAAGATTTTTTATGCCCCCGCTGTAGAGGTGGTACATTAAGTTTTACCCTTGTATTGTTCTAAAAGAATGTAAATCCATAAGATCGAGCGATTCAGACTCAAAAAATAATAAATACAGAAGTTCACTTTTCGAACTTTTATACATCAAGAGGTTTTGAATATAAAATTTTAAAAACAAAAAACATGTGATGATACACACACCCCTTTTCACTAAAAACTCTTAATCTTTTTTAGTTTTTATCCTCCTCTAAAAATATGATATGTCTTTAATGAATAACAGATTTTTATGAAATCTGATTTATTTAACAAATTTTAAAATAAACAACAATTTTACAATGAAATGTTTGTCAATAGAAAATGAACAATAAATCAAATGAGAAAAAATATTGATAGGTCTTTTGTGCAACATTTTGAAATACAAGCATTGGAGAACCAGAATTTTGTACGAGGAGAATGTCTGGATATCTGATAGGAAATGTATGGGCGGAAATTAATGATATGTTAACTGTATGACTTATGTTGTAAAAGAACATGCAACAATTTTGTCAAAAAGAGTATTTAAAAAGTATGCTGTTAAAATGATTTGACAAATGTAAGGGTTGCTGGGAAAAATTGATAAATTTTTTAGAAGAGTTGCAAATTATGAATGGAAAGTTTAAAGCTTTAATAAGGGGAAATCAGTAATTTATCATTGAAATGACTTCTATTCCATTTAAAAGTGCACATTATCTGTTTAACTGTGATATCTATGTTCTTGTTTGTATGTTTTACTTTAATGAATAAAAGTTAAATACAAATTTCATTTTTATACGCCTGTTTACGGGACGTATTATGGTATACCGTTGTCCGTCTGTCCGTCCGTCGTCAACATGTCGGACATTAACTCATAAACGCTTTAACCAATTTGCATAAAACTTTGGTGAATTGTTTATATCTATTGACGTGAGCTCCCTTTCCTTTTTTATAAATTTTAGATTTTATGTTTCCGAGTTATGGGGTTTTCTTCATTAAAAAAAGTGGGATTTTCCAGTTTTCGGACAATAACTCAAGAATGCTTTCACCAACTTGCAATAAATTGTTGTGAATTGTTTATATCTGTTGACATGAGCTCCCTTTCGATTTTTATAAATTTTAGATTTTACGTTTCTGAGTTACAGGGTTTTTCCAGTTTTCAGACAAAAACTCAAAAAAGCTTTCAGCAGTTCTTATGAAACTTTGGTGAATTGTTTATATCTATTGATGTAAGCTCCCTCTAGAATTTTATAAATTTTACATTTTACATTTCTGAGTTATGGGGTTTTATTCATTAAGAAAGGGGGGATTTTCCAGTTTTCGGACAATAACTCAAAAATTCTGTCAGCAATTCTCATGAAACTTTGGTGAATTGTTTATATCTATTGATGTAAGCTCCCTTTTGATTTTCATAAATTTCTAATATGACATTGAGAATTAATTGAACTTTATTTGTTTATAGTCTGAGAACAGATTTACTAAGTATTGCGCAACAGCACAGTGTATTGCACAACAGCAAGAAATCTTTAATTGAATATAAATTCAATCCATATAACCAATTTCAAGTTCTTTGACTACAATTATTCAGAAACCTATAATATGTCAAATATTTAATTACAATCCAAATTCAGACCTGTATCAAGTTTGAATATTGTGTCCATTTTTGCCCCAACTGTTCAGGGTTGGACCTCTGAGGGCGTATCCAGCTGCGCTCAGCGAAGCAGTTTATTATTTATGTTGATATGTGTGTTCTTGCTGGTAAAATCATGTACAATAAAAATTAATGAAAATTAAAATTGAACACTCTTTACCCTATTAAAGTAAACTCCAGAAAGGAACTGATTTTGAACATTGTTTCATTGGTTACACCATTGATTTATACATTAGTCTTTGGTTAGGATTTGTAATTTGCATGCAGAATTGTAACAATAGATAACTGTTCTCTTCATGAAATTGCAAAATGAAATATTTGCTGATGAAGAAAAGAAAACAACAACAGATATAAACCTGTTTGGTATATTGTTTTAAACTGTGCACCCCTATACCTTTGTACCATTTCAAAGTCCACATGTTAGATTGATTATTGATGTTTTACACCACTTTCACCACTCATGGCTCTTTCGTGGCGGTCAGTTCTTATTATTGGTGGAAGCCAGAGTGCCACCAACCATTCGGCAGGAAAACAGGCAATCTTAGTCATTCAAAATTGGAGTTCATGCACCTGCCAAGTGCTGGTTTCAAACTAACGACCCCCACATGTTAGAATTGCTTATATGTTAATAAGAGTAACTGTTTCTAAAAACTTATGTTTTTTTAAAAGTAAACTTAATTCTTCAAAAAAGAAAGTGTTTGCCAAATTTTCGCACAATCATTCAAGGAATAACTTAATATATTTACATGATTTTGAAAAGAATGTAGAGCTTTATTTGAATAGAATTGACCCATAAAGTTATATTTTATATTTGATATTTGGACTTGATTTTCTTGTGTCTGTAGATATTGGTCTGACTTTAGGTATATGAATACATATAGACTTTTGAGCTATCAATGGTAGATCCAGAAAAATTGGAAAAGAAGATCTTGGGCTTCATCTATTGGAAAAAAGGGTTTCAAGGTCCTTCCTTAGTGATTTTTCGTAAAAATTTATTGAATTTTTTTTATGCCCCCGCCATAGCGGAGGGGGCATTAAGTTTTACCCTTGTCCGTCTGTACGTCCCAAAATTGGTTTCTGTTCTCTAACTTTAGTTTGCCTTAACCAAATGTTATCAAACTTATAAATGCTTATTACCAATAAAAACAGATCAAGATTGAATTTTGGTGGCGTAACTTTTACCGTTCTAGAGTTATGCCTATTTACAAATGGAAAAATTGCTAAATTATTCGTTTTTGGGTTCTCTAACTTTAGTTTTCCTCAACCAAATGTTATGAAACTTATACACAATGCTTATTACCACAAAACACAGATTAAATTTAAATTTTGGGGGCGTCACTATTACCGTTCTAGAGTTATGTCCCTCTACAAATGGAAAAATTGCTGATTTTTTCGTTTCTGTTCTCTCACGTTAGTTTGCCTCAACCAAATGTTATGAAACTTATGCACAATGCTAATTACCACAAAACACAGATCAAGTACGAATTTTGGTGGCGTCACTTTTACTGTTCTAGAGTTATGCCCCTTTACAAAGGGAAAATTTGCTAGGTTTTTTGTTTCCGTTCTCGAACTTAAGTTTGCCTCAACTAAATGTTATGAAACGTATACGCAATACTTATTACCACAAAACTCAGATCAAGTACAAACTTGGGTAGCGTCACTTTTACAGTTCTTGTGTTTTGTCCCTTTATAACATTATATGCAAGCGGGGGCATCATCTGTGTCCCATGGACACATTCCCCATTTATTTATTTTTTTAAATATGTCAATTATTATTCATATTAAAATTTCATATAGAAATATAATATTATAAAATTTATAGCCTTTAACAAGTAAGGATAATTATGCAGCATAAAACAATTATGTTGATTTTGTTTTTAAATACAAGTTTTCAAGATTATTCTGTATGCATAATTAAATAAAAACATGTAAAACAAAATTTAGTACCATCAACATTAATCAGCAGTAACTATCATTTTTGGAAAGATTGGAACTATTGTTCCAAGTCTCTCCTAAAGCACTGTCCTCCCTTGCAAGAAGCAGCACAGGTTAGCTACCAAATCTACAAAATGTATACACACTGAAATATAGTTCGCTATGATTCTCATGTCTGTGTACATATGCACATATGAATTGTCAAAAATTTGGGTTATATTTTTAAGCTGTTCATTCAAGTATGTATGTCTTTAAGGTTTTTTAATGTGCGGTCTAATTTTGTCATTTTGATAAGTTAAGAGTAATGATACAATACCAGTATGATTAACACCTGTCATGATCACCAAACAATCAGAGACTTCATTTGATTCAAGTTCGATTAATGATTTTTTAAAATTCATTTACTTTTTGATAAAACAAATATCGAACAGTTACAAACAAAAAATAAGGTTTAAGAGAAGTCTGAGTCCGATGTCAGAATAGGAAACAAAAGAAAATAAACAAAATGACAATAATATATAAATAACAACAGACTACTAGCAGTTACTGACATGCCAGCTCCAGACCTCAATTAAACTGATTGAAAGATTATGTCTTCATCATATGAATATCAGGCACAATCCCTCCTGTTAGGGGTTTAGTATTATACCATCATAAATTATATGCGAAGAACATAACCCGTGTCATGCCAACAACTGGTTTTAGAATAAATATGTTTAATTCCGATGCAAAGACCCTATAAGTGAATCAATATTAAAGCCAAAAAATGCAATCTTTAATGACCTGACAACAGTATCGTAACTATTTCCCTTCTTAATAAGTCTGTTTAAAGGTTTTCTTAGCTTTTGAGATGAATACTGACATTTTTGTGCTTTGTAAAGAATATTACCATAAAAGACTGGATGTGAAATACCCGAACGTATAAGATGTCTGCATGTTGAGTTATATTTACGAATGATGTCCTTATACCGATGATAAAATTAAGTAAATGTTTTGACTAGTTTATGATATCGAAAACCCTGGTGTAATAATTTTTCAGTAATACATAAATTTCTCTCGCTAAAATCTAATACGTTGTTACATACACGAGCGAATCGTACAAGTTGAGAGATATAAACACCATAAGATGGTGACAAGGGAACGTCACCATCTAAAAATGGATAATTAACGATAGGAAATAAAAAATCATCTCTTTTATCATAAATTTTTGTATTAAGCTTCCCGTTAATGATATAGATATCAAGATCGAGGAAAGGACAGTGGTCATTGTTAGTATAAGCTTTATTTAAAGTAAGTTCAACAGGATCAATTTCTTTAGTATACATACTGAAGTCGTCATTATTGAGAGCCAATATATCATCCAAATATCTAAAGGTATTGTTAAATTTTTGTATCAGATGTTGTTTCGATGGGTCTTTGCTGATTTTAGTCATAAATTGTAACTCATAACAATACAAAAACAGGTCCGCAATAAGTGGTGCACAGTTAGTCCCCATTGGAATTCCGAAAACTTGACGATATACGGAATCTCCAAAGCGAACAAAAATGTTATCAAGTAAAAAATCAAGGGCAGATATAGTATCAAAGCATGTCCAATTGACATAGCTCTTTTGGTTTGTTGCTACTAAAAAATGACCTAAAAGAGTTTGAACATATGTATTCGCATTCCGACTTTTTAAATGCCCATTTAATTAGGTGTGTGAATTTTTTCTTAATAAGAATATGAGGCAAAGTGGTAGGGTAGACAAATCAAAACTTTGAACAGATTCAAAATCACCAATATATGCATGCAATTTATCAAGTACTTCCAACGAGTTTTTGACACTCCAAAAGTAGTTAATTCCACAATTTTCAAAGGCCTTATTTGAACAATTTATTATCAGGTTTTTGATTGTACCAAGTGTACTAGTAAGTAGAATAGACAATTTAGTAGTGGAACAATGACTTGAAGACGAAATAAATCTATATTTGTAAGGTGATTTGTGTAGCTTCGGAAGCCAGTACATAGTTGGGACTTTCACTGTATTTGGTTCTGCTTGTAAAGAAGTAGCTAATAGTTTATGTTTGTTACAGATATCGTTTTCTGAAAATGAAGTCAGTTGGAATGTTGGTGAATTCGTGGTTGTTGTTAAGAGTAAAATGTTCTTTAAAATGTTGTATACGTATATCAACTATCTTCATTACTGAATTAAAAAAAGA